CGCCGTCGCGGCGCGCCTGGTCGCGCGCGTGGCGCATCGTCGTCGCGCGGAGGAGCGCGTAGAGCGTCGCGAGCATGGGCCGCTCCTTGCGCTGCCAGGGCTCGTTGCAGGACCCGGCCCAGAAGTGGTTCTGCCAGCCCGCGTCGCTGCCCGCGCCGAGCGTGAAGGGCCAGACGCGCAACAGGCTCAGGATGCCCTGGAGGTCGTCGAGGCGGTTCGTGAGCGGCGTGCCGCTGAGCATCCACGTGTGGTCGTGCTCGAGGACGTGGACGGCCTGCGCGATCTGCGCGGTGTCGTTGCGCACGTACTGCGCCTCGTCGACGATGACGCGGCGCCAGACGAGCTTCGTGAGGGCCGTGTTGCGGCCCGCGGTCCGCGCGGCGATCTTCTGGATCTCGGGCATCTTCACGACGACCACATCGTAGCGCGCGAGGTCCGCGGCCTTGACGCGCCTCGCGCCGGCCGCGAGCTCGCGCGCGGGGTCGAACGCGAAGCACGACAGGCCCGGCGCCTTGGCCTTGATCTCCTCCTGCCACTGGACGTAGAGGGACACGGGCACGACGACGAGCGTGCCGCCGCGGTAGATCGTCTCCGCGCCCTTGACGCGCGCGACGAGCCCCGCGGCGCTGAGGTCGCGCGGGTCGTCCGCGAGGTCCGACGCCACGAGCGCCAGCGTCGTCACCGTCTTCCCCAGGCCCATCTCGTCGGCGAGCAAGCCGCCCGTGACGACGGGCGGCGCCTCCAGGAGCACGTGGCCCGCGAGCGGGAAGTAGTAGAAACTATCGCCGCCGTCGGCGAAGGACCGCTTCTCCCAGAAGTAGCCGTTGAGCCCCGGCACGCCGCCGACGGCCGCGTCGCGCGACTCCTGGTCGCGCATCCACTTGAGGCCCTCGAGCTGGTAGTCGCGGAGCTCGACGGACGCCGCGAGGCCCTCGGCTTTGAAGCCCGGCGGCAGCGCGACGCCCGTCGACTCGGCCGCGCGCAGGAGGCCCGGGATCGAGAAGTCGAACTTGCCGTCGAAGGCCTCGCCGTCTTCGCCGGGCTTCGGCGACCGCTTGAACGCGGCGGCGTCCGGCGGCGGCTTCCGCGTCGCTACGACGGCGCCCGCGGGGATTAGAGCGTCGAAGAGCGTCTTCACCGACGGGTGCGCCGAGAGGCCGAAGATCGCGCGGCGCAGGTAGACGGGCACGTGCACCTCGACGGTCACGGGCGGGCCCGCCGCCGCCGCGACGCGCCGGACCGCCTCGTCCCTCACGAACGCGAGGCCGTAGCAGCAGCGGTCCTTGAAGTCGTTGTCGCGGTCGTTGAGGCCCTCGACGGCCTCGACGACGGCCGCCGCGCGCGCGGGGAGCCGCGCGCCGACGCGGAGGGCCTCGAAGGGCGCGACGCGGAACCGCGGCTCCGCGGCGTCCGATGTGCCGTCGCGGAGCGGCTCGACGAAGCGGCCCGCGTTCGACCAGACGGCGGAGCCGTGGCCGAGGAAGGCGTCCGCGAAGCGCGGCGTCGCTTCCACTTCGAGGACGACGGTGCCCGCGAGGCGGCCGACGCGGCTCTGCGTCTTGCGGCCGCGGCCGCGCGCGTCGACGGTGTAGTGGCCGCCAGACGCCTCGGGCGTCGGCGTCTCCGGCTTCCACTCGTACTCGACGCCGTAGGCCGGCGCGCGCTTGAGCTCGGGCCCGAGGCGCATGCCCGGCGTGCCGCTGTCGATGCGCGCGGGGAGGTTCGCGGGCGCGACGCCGGTCGGCGCGTGGAGCTTCACCGCCGGCGCCGCGGCCGCGGGCGGCGCGGGCGGCGGGCGCGGCGCGGCGGGCGCCGGCCGCGGCGCGATGGGCGCGTACGCGCGCTGCGTGCCGGGCTCGGGCTTGATGCGCTTCGGCGGGCTCGGGTCGGCGCCGGCCTCCTTCGCCGGCTTGCTCGACTGCAGCGCGGACCCGAGCTGGGCGAGCAGCGCCGCGTTGTCGCCGCCGCCGAGCGCCGCTTGCACCTCGGCCATCAAGGCGTCGTTGTCCGCCATGGTGTTGGATGACGCAATATCGTTGGACGACGCGTGTGTTTGGATGCGCTCGACGACGCTGGCGGCGGCTGACGAACCTTTCAAAAACCGGCGGATCGATCGCGCGACCTCGAGCGGGCCGGTGCCGTCGACGCCCCGCGCCTTGCGCCGTCCGTCGCCCCGCGCGCCTCACCACGATGGACATGCTGAAGCAGCTCGAGGCGAAGCTCGGCGCCGACAGCGAGCTCTACAAGAAACTCAAGGCCCAGCTCATGCTCAAGGAGCTCGAGGCGAAGCTCGGCGCCGACAGCGACGTCTACAAGAAGGTCAAGGCCCAGATCGAGGCGCAGCAGCAGTCGTCCGCGCCGGTCGCGCCGCCGCAGCAGCAGCAGCCGCAGTCGTCCGCGCCGGCCGCGCCGCCGCAGCAGCCGCCTGCGCCGCGGCGGCCGGAGCCCGCGCCGCCCGCCGCGGCGCCGCGCCGGGGCTCGCGCGCCAAGGTCTCGCGGACCATGGAGATCGACGGCCACACGGTGCTCTGCGAGAACAACTACGACGTCACGGCGTCGCACTACGAGTACGGCGAACGGCCCGCGGACCCGCCGCGGCCGGCGCCCGCGAAGAAGCCGCGCACGGAGCGGGCGGCGCCGGCGCCGCGGCCGCCGACGGCCGGCGAGCTCAAGCGCGCGGCGCAGAACGAGGCGCTGCGCGCGGAGATGGCCCTCGCGGCGCCGCGGCGCGCGGCGTTCTTCGACGGCCACCGCGAGCTGCTCGCGCCCTTCACGTCCGGCCACGTCCTCGACAGCCTCCGGGCCGCCGCGGGGTCGGCGCGGCCGCTCGCGCCGCGGACGCGCCTCGTGGCCGCGGCGCCCGCGGACGTGCGCGCGACGCTCCGCGACTACCAGCTCGAGTCGCTCGACTGGTTCGCGGACCGCCACGAGCGCTGCGGCGCGCTGCCCTGCGTCCTCGGCGACGAGATGGGTTTGGGCAAGACGCTCCAGACCATCGCCTACCTCGCGTGGCTCAAGTTCGAGAAGCGGCTGCCGGGCGCCGCGCTCGTCATCTGCCCGCTGTCCGTGCTCTCGACGTGGCTCGGCGAGTGCGCGCGGTGGTGCCCGCGGCTCCGCGTCGTGAAACTCCACTCGTCGGACGTCGACGAGCGCGCGCGGCTCCGGGGCGCGATCCTCGACGACGTCGGGAGCTACGACGTCGTCGTGACGACCTACGAGATGGCCAAGGCGCCGAGCCTGCGGTCCGCGCTCGTGCAGCGCGTCGTCTGGCGCGCCGTCGTGTTGGACGAGGGCCACGTGATCAAGAACCGCGAGACGGAGATCGCGCAGACGGTTCGCAAAATGCACTTCTGCACCGCGCTGCTCCTCACGGGCACGCCGCTCCAGAACAACCTGAGCGAGCTCTGGGGCCTGCTCAACTTCCTCTACCCGGCCGCGTTCCCCTGCCGCGACGCGTTCGACGCGGCCTACGACCTCGGGCGCGGCGTCGTCGACAAGGCGGCGCTCGGCGCCGCGCGGCGGCTCTTGGGCGCGTTGATGCTCCGGCGCTTGAAGGCCGACGTCGAGAAGGGCCTGCCGCCGAAGCTCGAGACCGTCGTCCACTGCCCGCTGTCGCACTGCCAGCTCTTCTGGTACAAGGCGCTGCTCCTCAAGGACCGCGACCAGCTCAAGCTCGACGACCGCGGCCCCGCGGCCGGCGGCTACAAGTCGCTCGTGAATCTGTTGATGCAGCTCCGGAAGACGTGCTGCCACCCGTTCCTCTTCGCGGACGCCGAGGGCTGCGACCCGGGCGAGACGACGCTCGAGGAGCTCGTCGCCGCGTCGGGCAAGCTCCGCGTGCTCGACCGGCTGCTCGTGAAGCTCCACGCGCGGAAGCACCGCGTCGTCGTCTTCTCGCAGTTCGCGTCCATGGTCGACGTCCTCGACGACTACTGCGCGCTCCGCGGCTGGCCCTTCTGCCGGCTCACGGGCAGCACGAACCGCGTCCAGCGCGTCGTCAACGTGCGGGCCTTCAACGAGCCGTCGAGCCCGCTCTTCCTCTTCCTCATGACGACGCGCGCGGGCGGCCTCGGCATCAACCTCCAGTCCGCGGACACGGTCGTCCTCTACGACAGCGACTGGAACCCGCAGGCGGACCTCCAGGCCATGGCGCGCGTGCACCGGCTCGGCCAGACGAAGACGGTCCACATCTACCGGCTCTGCTCGCAGGGCACGGCCGAGGAGCGCGTGCTCCAGCGGTCGCAGAAGAAGCTCTTCCTCTCGAACATGGTCAACGCGGCCCAGCAGCTCGGCCACGACGACGCGGCGGTCGACGACGACGACGTCGGCCGCCTCGGCGGCGCGGAGGTGCTCTCGATGCTGCGCTTCGGCGCCGCGTCCATGTTCCGCGGCGAGACGAACCGCGAGCCGACGGACGCGGAGCTCGAGGGCATCATCGACCGGACGCGCACGGGCGGCGCGGAGGAGACGAGCGGCGGCCTCGTCGGCGGCGTCGAGGCGTCCGCGGACACGTTCGACACCTCCGAGGAGTTCGTGAGCACGCGCGAGCTCTTCGGCGCCGAGGTCAAGGCGCCGCCGCGCATCTCGCACCGCGACATCTCCGAGCAGTGGAAGCACGTCGTCGACGGGCGCCGCGAGCGGAAGCAGCGCATCAAGATGGTCGAGGGCAAGGGCACGGGCTACGGCGGCGCCGTGCCCGTGCTCGCCTGCAACGACTACGAGCTCGAGGCCGGCGAGGCGTCGGTCTTCGACCGCGAGCTCAAGGGCGCGAACAGCGACGGCGCCTTCGCCGTGCAGAAGCGCGCCATGGTCATCGCGGGACGCGACTACGCGCACGAGGCCGAGCCGCTCTGCTGCTTCGGCACAGGGAAGCGGACGTCCGGCCCCGTGCTCGAGTGCGCGTTCTGCCCCATGGTCTTCCACAAGGCGTGCGCGGCGCGCGGCGGCTACGAGGACGCGGGCCACCTCGCCGCGGGCAAGTGGCGCTGCCCGCAGCACTCCTGCGACGTCTGCGCGCGGTCGACATCGGCGGCCGGCGGGCTCCTGTTCCGCTGCGAGGCGTGCCCGGCCACGCTCTGCGAGGACTGCCTGCCGGAGGCGGCGACGGTCGTCGGCGAGAGCCGCCGCCTCGTCGCGCGCGGCGTGCCCCAGCAGTCGGCGGCTTGCTACATCCGCTGCTCGCCGAAGTGCGACGCGATCATGGCCGCGCGCGAGGACTCGAGCCGACCCTCCGAGGAGCCGACCTTCGCGCCCCTCGACCTGCCGCCGCTCGAGGTCGACGACCGCGACGAGTTCGCCGAGGCGTTCCTCTCCGAGCGGGCCCTCGGCGACGGGCGGCCCGAGTCCTTCAAGGAGCGCGCGGCCGCGGCCGCGGCCGACGACGTCCGCCTCTTCGACGCGGACCTCGCGGCGACGTGCGCCGACTGCGGCGACGGCGACGAGGACGCCTACGACGGCGAGCCGCGGTTCCGCGTGGCCATCAAGTTCAGGGGCGGCGCACCGATCACCGCCGCGGCGAAGACGCTCGCGCGGCGCAACGCGGCGGGCCGCAACGTCGTCCACGCGCGGCTCGTCGCCGACGTCCGCGGCGCCGTCGGCCGCGGCCTCCTCGTGCCCGCGCCCGCCGCGCGCGACGCCGGGGGCTTCTTCGACGAGGCGAGCGGCGTCATGGTCGTCGACGGCGACAGCGACGACGACGGCGACGACGACATCGACGGCGCGTTCGACGCGAGCGAGGACTTCGCCCAGGACGTCGCGCTCCGCCGCGACGGCGCCTAGGGCCGCGCCTCTCTAAGCCACCTGCCTGTGCGGCGGCCGCCGGGGCGCGCGGGGGGGCGGCGGCCCGGAACTATGTAGGTGGAAGGACGACTTACCACTCGCAGACGGCGTAGTCCTTGAGGAAGACGCCGTAGGGCGCGTCGAGCGGGTCGCCGGCCTCGAGGCGCCGGAGGGGCGCGATCGCCGGGTCGAGGATGCGCGCGGCGGCGTCGACCTCGTCGAGGGGCGTCTGGAAGTCGTGGGCCTTGGCGTGGTCGACCGCGAGCGCCGTGGGCTTCTCGTCGTTGATCCAGCCCGTGTCCACGGCCGTCATGTAGACGTGGGCCTTGGCGAGGTCCGCGGCGGCCGTCCGCGTCATCATGTTCAGCGCGGCCTTGGCCATGTTCGTGTGCGGGTGCGTGGGCTGCTTGTGGCGGTAGAACTTGCCCTCCATGGCCGACACGTTGACGACGAAGGCCGGCCGGTCGGAGGCCGCGGACAAACGCATGAAGGGCGCGAGCTTCGAGTTGATGACGAAGGGCGCGAGCGCGTTGATCGCGAAGACCTCCGCGAGCTCCGGCGTCGACACCTCGTCCAACTTCAACATCCACGAGTTCTTCGTTCGCAGGTCGAGCTGCTGGCCGAGGTCGCCGTTCGCGTCCGTGGCCCCCGCGGGGAACGCGGCGTCGTCGCGGACGTCGTCGCCCGGCGCGACGCAGAGCATCGAAGCGAGCGCCGGGTCGCTCGCCGCGGCGTCGGCCCGCGCGGCGGTCCAGGTCCGCATGCGCTCGAGGTCCCGGGGCGCGTCGGGCACGTCGACGTCGCCGCCGCCCTCCGCGGGCCCGTCGAGGAGCGCGGGGAACGCGTGCGCCGGACCCCCGAGGAGCCGCCGGAGCTTGAGCTCGCGCGCGACCGTCGTCGCGTAGTACTGGGGCGGCCGCCGCACGGTCTGGCACGCGTTGTTCACGAGGATGTCCAGCGAGTCGACCATGGCCGGCACGGCCGCGCAGAGCGCCTCGACGGCGCGGAGGTCCCGGAAGTCGCAGCCGACGACGACGAGGCGGTCGCGCCACTCGTCCGCGTCGCGTTCGCCGTTGAAGCGGCTCGCGCAGTCCGCCGGGTAGCGCGTCGTCGCGACGACCCTGGCGCCGCAGCGCAGCAGCTTCAGCGCCACGCGGAAGCCGATCTTCACGCGCGCGCCCGTGACGAGCGCGCCGCGGCCCGCGAGGTCGCACCGCTCGTCGCGCTTCCCCCAGTTCAGCGCCGCGCACGCCGGGCAGAGGTTCGCGTAGAAGGCGTGGAGCGTCGTGAAGGGCGCCTTGCAGGTGTAGCAGGAGATGGCGCCGTGGAGCTCCGCGGGCGCCGCGTCGCCGTTTTCCAGCATCCGGAGCCCGACGGCGGGCCCGTCGGCGATGCGCGGCAGCGCGTCCTCCGCCCCGTCCTCGAGCAGCTTCTCCAGGCGATCGAGGCGCTCGCGGCGCAGCGCGCGCTGGTTCAGCGCGTCGCGGTCCATGACGCGCCGCCGCTCCTGCTCCGTGAGCTCCGGCTCCCGGGGCTTCTTCCGCCGCGACGGCGCGTCGTCGCCGCCGCCGACGAGCGCGACGGCCGCCGGCGCGAGCGCCGCGCGGAGCCGCTTGAAGGGCCGCGACCGGAACAGGGTCAGGTCCTTGCCCAGGGCCTCGAGCGTGCGGCACGTCGCCTCGACGTCCTCGACGGGGATGCCGCCGAAGACGTCGACGGCGCCGTCGCTGTCCGACCCGTCGGCCTCCTTTGCCTCCTCGAGGAGCCGCTTCCGCTTCTTCAGCTCCTTGCCGCGCTTGCCCATCGCTGCGACGGTCGGCGTTGGCGCAGCAGCGCGTCGATCTTGGTGCCGAAGGATTAGCACTCACAGTCCATCGCCTTTTGGCCGAGGCCAGATATTGCAGGCAAGCTGCACTCGGAGAAGGCGGCAGCCAATCTGGGCAGCCATCTCGGGCAGCCAGAAAGGAACACCCAAAATGGCCTCGTCGACGGCGGCGCGCCGGGCCCTCGCCCTGGAGGAGCCGCTCGTCCCGAGTGCGCTGCCCGACGACGAGGCGACGAAGCTCGCCGTCTTCCGCGCGGCGATCCTCGTGCACGGCGCCTGGACGGGCGCCTGCGTCGCGCAGCGGTCCCGCGGCGACGCGTCGGCGGCGGGCAAGCGCGTCGCGCGGCGGCGCGCGTCGCTCCTCGCGCCGCGGGAGGCGCGCGAGACGGCCCGGGGCGCGCGGCGGCTCCACCGGCTGCTGGGCCGCGCGGCGTTCTACAGCGCCTACGCCGCGTGGGCGCTCCTCCTCCTCGCGCTCTTCGAGAAGCCCTGGTGGTGCCGAAACCAGCCGGACGCGTGCGGCGCCGGGCCGCGCGCGCACCTCTACCCGAACAGCGGCCTCTCGCGCCTCGGCCCCGGCGCGGCGCTCGCCGCCGCGGGCGCGCTGCTCGGCGGCCTGCTCCTGGAAGCGGCGCTCGAGGCCGTCGCGCGCGACGCGCTGGCCGACTTCCGGGGCGCCGGGCGGCCCCTCTTCGCCTGGCGCTGCGGCGCGCTCGCGCTCTGCGCCGCGGACGCGGCCGCGGCCTTCGGCGCCGGCGGCGCGGCGTCGCTCACGCCGGCGTCCGCGCTCTGCCGCTGTTTGTTGGTGCTGACGCACGACCGGAACGTGCGGACCCAGCTCCGCCTCATCGCGCGCGTCGCGCCGGACGTGCTCAGCGTCCTCGCGCTCCTCGGCTGCGTCGTGTTGCTCTACGCGTGGTTCGCGACGCTCATCTTCCAGAACGAGACGGCCGAGGGCCGCGAGGTCTTCCCGACCTACGGCGCGTCCGTCCGGCACGGGGCAGGAAAAGAGTGATTCAACGTCGCTTCACCGTGAATGTTCCGCGCGCGCGCGTTCCGGAAAAGCATCCGCGCTTCGAGACCGCTCCGAGAGATGATCGCTCGTCCAAAAATGAGCCGAAACGAGTGGAAAGCGGCCGAGAGAGGAGCCTTTGGAGTTGGGAATGTCGCACCCTTTTCCTGCCCAGGTCTGGCAGCTCTTCATCCTCGTGACGACGTCGAACTTCCCGGACGTCATGCAGCGCGCCTACGCGAAGAACCGCGCGACCTTCCTCTTCTTCGCGCTCTTCCTCGTGCTCTGCCTCTGGTTCCTGCTCAACGTCGTGCTCGCCGTCGTCTCCGACGGCTACACGACGTCGACGGCGGCCGAGGCGGCGCTCGCCGCGGCGTCGAAGCGGCGGAATCTCGACGACGCCTACGACATCCTGCTGAGCCTCGAGCGCCGCGACGGCCGGGGCGTGTCCCGGGACGCGATGGCGCGGCTCTTCGGGGAGCTCAACGCGACGGCGTCCGTGCCCCACCTCGACGGCGACGCGCAGGCCCTCGTCTTCGCCGTGCTCGACCACGACGGCTCCATGGCCGTCGACAAGGCCGAGTTCGAGCTCCTCGTCGACGCGCTGAAGCTCCGCTTCGTCCGCGTCGACGACCGGCCGGACGCGGCGTCGCTCCGGGGCCGCGTCGCGGCCGTCGTCGGCGACGCGCGCTTCGACCGCTGCGTCGACGCGCTCCTCGTCGCGAACCTCGTCTTCGAGGCGGCCTACGGCGCCAAGAGCCTCGAGGCGCGGAGCCCCGCGGACGTCGACGGCCGGCCCGACACGCCCGCGCAGATCGCGTCCGCGGTCTTCACCCTCGTCTACCTCGCGGAACTGGTCGCGCGGTGCGTCGCGCGGAACGGCGTCGTCGCCTACCTCTGCCGCACGAGCCTCCAGGCGAGCTTCGACGGATGCGCGACGCTCGCGGCCGTCGCGCTGACGGCCTACGTCTACTACCCGAACGGCTTCTCCGAGGCCGACGTCATCCGCTACGCGCTCCTCGCGCGGACGCTGCGCCTCGTGCGCGTCTTCGACGGCGTCCCCGCGTTCCACAAGGTCGCCGCGGCGCTCCGCCGCGTGCTGCCCAAGGCGCGGACGCTCTTCGCGGCGCTCCTCTGGATCGGCTTCGCCTTCGCGGCCGTCGCCGTCGCGGCCTTCGGCGGCAAGATCACGCGCGACGAAGACAGCGCGCACTTCCGCGCCATCGCGAAGAAGGCGCCGGACTTCGCGACCGCCGCGGGCGTGGGCTACTACGCGAATAGTTGCAACGACGTCGCGTCCGCGCTCGTGCTCCTCTTCGAGCTCCTCATCGTGAACAACTGGTTCGTGCTCGCGTCGGGCTACGTCGCCGTGACCTCCAAGGCCGCGCGCGCCTTCTTCGTCGCCTGGTACGTCGTCGGCGTGCTCGTCGTGCTCAACCTGGTCGTCTCCGCGACGCTCGACTCCTTCATCAGCGAGTACAAGGACGACGCGCCGGAGGGCGCGCCCGGCGACCGCTCCGCGCTCCGGCGCGCGCGCCGCCAGAGCACCATGGTCATCGACTCGGCGACCGTGACGGGCACGGCGACGGGCCTCCGCGGGGCCTACCAGGTCAACGTCGCCGCCGGCGCCGGCGACGCGCCGGAGGCGCGGCGGAATCTCATCCACCGCCTCCTCGACCCCGCCGACCCGGACGACGGCGGCGACGGCGCCGCGCCCTAGGGTACTCGAGCTCTAAGGGAGGTTCAATTTGAACTTCAATTCGGCAGCAAGTTTCCTTCAGGACGAGCCCTTCTGGACTTGGGCAGCGTCATGGATGCGCTCAAGAGCATTGCCGGCGGGTCCAAGTGCGACGAGATCCAGCTCATCCGAGGTTCGTCGAGTGGCCCGCGCCGTCCGAGGCGCCGCCGAACTCGTAGGTCTGAACCGCGACTACGAGGAGCTCGGCTGCGGCGCGAAGCGAGACTCCCTGCCCTGCCGCAACGTCGTCGCGGCCATGGCCCGCCTCGGCCTGGCGCCGGCGGCGCCCGCGGAGGCGCCGGCGGCGCCCGCGCTCGCGCCGCCGACGATCTCCAAGCGCCCGGAGCTCCTCGTGCCCGAGAAGGCCGCCGCGGCCGCGGCCAAGTGCACCGCGCGGTGCGGCGTCTTCGGGTCCTTGCTCGCCGCGGCGCTCGCGTCGTCCGTCGTGCCGGAGGCGAACGGCGCCGCGGACCCGGACCGGGAGGCGCTCCTGCAGGCCGGCGCCGCGGCCGCGGCCGTCGCGGCGGTGAGCGTCTGCGCGCGGCTCTGCGCGCGGCCGGACGCGCCGGGCGTCGCCGCGCCGGGCAGCGGCTACGAGCTGACGGGCACGTATACCCACGAGGTCCCGACCCTCGATGCCGCCCAGGCGTACATCAAGGGCCTCGAGCAGGGCAAGTGAGGCCGCTCGCGACCAAAGCCCGCGCGCGTAATCCCCCGCGAGGAGCCGGCCCCGTTCTGTGCAGCAGCTTACGGGCGGAACGCGCGGGGGAGGGAGCTCGCCAAGGAGGCGTCGCGTCGGCGCCCGGCGGCTCCTCCGACGAGGAGCCGCCGCCGCGGCGACGACGCGCGCGATGGGAGCTGCTCGACCGAGGCGTCGGCGCCCGGCGGCTCCTCCGACGAGGAGCCGCGGCGGCGGCGACGACGCGCGCGGCGGTGGGAGCGGCGGGTGGGGGGAGCGCGCTGCGGTAGCTTCTGGTGGAGGAGCTCGTCGGGGTCTGGTGCCCGACGCGGGCCTCCGAGTCGGCGGGCGGAGGAGCCTCTCATACTCATCCGGGCGCCTGCTTGCTTGGTGGAACGTGACTCCTCAGGCCTCGACCTCGGCCTCGTCGTCGCCGCCGATGGTCGGCATGGACGTCTGGCGGTGGGGCTGGCGCGCGGCGACGCGGCGCTTGCGGACGAGGTAGAGGACCGCGGCGACGAGGAGGACGGCCGCGATGACGACGGGGATGATGATGGCGATGGAGAACCTGTTAAAGCGAAGTCTTGTAGACGTCCGAAGCTTCCGTCTTTGTGTCTGAAATACGATGCTGATGCGCGGATTCTATCACTAGCTACGCATTGGGTTGATTTGCCATTTGAACAACTGCAGTCGCTTGTGAAATCTTCTGCTGTTGGTTCTAGACGTACGCCTCCGGCCTCACCCTCGGGGAACAAACACCAGCCAAAGAAGGCGAAGCCATCTTCTGTGGATGTCCTCTACTCCCCCACGAAAACAGTCGCTGAGTTTTGGGCCCCCGTGATGCCGCCCCCCGACCTTCCTCGCGCGGCCCGCCGCGCGAAGCTCGCCAAGGCTAAGGTCGCTTCGTAGGTAGGACCTACTATAAGTGCCGGATGGGAAATTCGTCGCAGGCAACAAAAGATTCGTCGCATGAAATTCGCCTAAGTCCACGATGGAGCTGCTGGCAGCCTGATGAGCTGCTCATAGCTCGCTCAAAAATAATAATTAGACGGAGATATCTGCATGGCCAGCAGCCGTTCTTGAGCATACAGACCGTTCCAAGCCTTCTCGAACAGCTCGTTGAGCAGCTTCTTTCTCTGCTCCCGCCCATAACCAGTTGTGCACTCAATCATTGCTTTCACCCACTTGATCAGATCCTCAGAGCACTGAGACTGGTCGATGAATTCGGTGCCGTCCTCGTCGCCATATTTCCCGGTCACACCATCCAACGCTTGTTTGACATTTCTATTCTGGTTGTACCTCTTCTTCTGCTCATCCTTCTTCTTCTTCTCTATCTTGTCCAGATTGTCCTGGAGCTGCTTGGCACGTGCCTCTGCCGCCAGCCGCAAAGTTGTCGCTTCCACTAGTTCCATTCGGGCATTCGCCATCCACATGCACAACCGGTCGTGGTGCCACCCCATGGCCTTGATCGCATGGTACCATTGTACTGCCTCCGGGTTGCGGAACACGAGGGGCACGGGCAGGACCAGCGGGCCCCGCGGGACGGGCGCGCCCGCGGCAGCCGCAGCCATGAGACCAACGACCAACGGCCAGCGCGTTAACCGACCAACTGCCATGCGTTAACCGCCGCGGGCCTATGCAGTTGAAGTTCAACAAAAAAAAAATAGGTCAGCACGCACGGTTTGGGTTGCGGCACATCATCGCCCGCGCCGCGCAGCGATGAAATAACGTGATTCCCGGTACAGTTTCAGGGCTGCGCTCGGCCAAGATATGCCAGGGCCGCTCGGATACCTAGCCAAGTTTTGTAAGGATTAGTTCGTTAAGGTCTCAACGGCGCCTACGCTCCTGCGCGAGACCGACTGCGCCCCGAGCCGCCTCCACATACGCGGTCACGGCGCGAGGAGCGCGTCGAACTCGCTCGCGAAGACGCGCGGCCGCGGCGCGTCGAC